TGGCACCCGTGCCATAGGTTCGCCACCACTGATATATATAATCAAAGGCAAGGGAAACCACTTATTACTGTTTCAGCATCCCCATGGTCATATGCTCAAAACTTTAAGGAAGGTCTTTTGTAAGAGGAGAAATATATTTCCAGGGTATTACCTTATTTTTCACTCAGGGAGAAAAACACTCATTTCCAAGTAGGGGTTTTTCCCCCCCACACACTGACAGTTACAAAAGTATTATTACCTGTCCTTTCTGGAAAAATAACTAAAAAGACCTCCCTAAGGATGATAAAACAACTAAGATATTCCACAATAAGACCCCACAGGAGCAGGAGTGCACAAGATTACAGATGTACCTTGTGTTTCCAAGAGTAAGAAAAACTAAAGATGACTAGTTGTCTTATTGGCAAGGGACCACACACAGGCGTGCACACACACACACACACACACACACACCCTCCCCACACACCCAGGATGAGAGAGAATGAAAGTCTTTTCTCATTCTCTGCATTTCTAAACAAAATTAACAAACCAAGTTGAACTGCTTAGATAACACCTCCCCTCTTGCTAGCTAATTAAACAGTCATTCATAAAATTACCTAGAAGTTGCATACGGTCCAAGAACTGCAAGTTGGTGACCCCTGTTCTAGGTGTTCTTCAACAGTTGCCCAACATAAAGTGCTTCACTGTGGTCTCAACATGATGCAGTCGACTCAGGCTTAACCGTTGCCAAGTACAGGCTTGTATGCTAAGTTTAGCTAGTAGACTAATTTCAGCTGTGCCAAACTCTCCTTGCTGCCTACGACATGTGAAATTCAAGGCCGAACATAATCAGAGAGCTCTTCAAGCAATGAAATTGATTTTTTTTTTTCCCAGTGGGAGCACAATCCTTCCAGAACAGCTGAATCCCAAATTCTAAGACAGATTTTTTTTATTGATCAACACCATCATCTATTATGAATAGAACCCAGTCCATTATTAATATTACAGTACATGTGAAGATATAACAGAGATTGAGGACATCAGAACATTGACGGCACTTCAGTACTAACCTCTAAATTAGCTGTCTCAAATGTCCCGTTTAGGTATGAAGTAGAAACCCTACACAAAACTTGAACTCAGATTCCGTCGTGTTAAACAAAAACGCATTTTAGATTGATCGGAACAGAAAGGGCTAAAGTCACTGTGAGAAAATATTCTAAGGCTCAATTCTATCAGGTACTTCCGAAAGAGATAATAATAATAATAATAATAATAATAATAATAATAATAATAATAATAATAATAATAATAATAATAATAATAATAGTAATAATATTGTCGATAAGAAAGACAAAAAAGTCTGGATAGTGGACGTGGCGGTGCCTGGAGACAGCAGAATAGACGAGAAAGAACTGGAGAAGATAACAAAATACAGAGACCTACAAATAGAAATAGAAAGTCTGTGGCAAAAGCAAGCAAGGGTAGTGCCAATAGTAATAGGCGCCTTGGGTGCAATCCCAAAATAACTGGAGCACCACTTGAACACCATCAATGGCATTGACAAATTCGCTATTAGTCAATTACAAAAGGCGGCCTTAACTAGGAACTGCTTCCATCCTGCGACAAGATCTGTAATACCATCAAACATCCACATCTGCCTATCCCAGGTCCTGGGTAAGGACTCAATAGGTAGACAAAAATGCCAAATCCAGTCAGAACATCTGGCTGACTGTGCGATGATCCATAATAATAATAATAATAATAATAATAATAATAATAATAATAATAATAATAATAGTAGTAGTAGTAGTAGTAGTAGTAGTAGTAGTAGTAGTAGTAGTAGTAATAAAGTTGGAAGGGACCTTGGAGGTCATCTAGTCCAACCCCCTGCTCAGGCAGGAAACCCTGCCTACACCATTTCGGACAAATGGCTGATTATTATTGTCAATGGTATTAAAACTTACTGAGAATTGCAAAAGAAGTAATAGGAATGAACCCTAACTCTACTCCCTCCCTTATGAAGTTCCTAGCACAGATCATCTCTCAGATGAAAACACCATCTCCATTCAATACACTGGACAAAAGAATGACTGAGATGGGATCCAGGTTAGAGGCATCAACCGTGACTGGATTCCGATGCCACTCAACGGAGCCTTTTCTCCGATAGGCTGAGTCAAAAAGCACGATTTTATTTCTCAAACAGTAATTATTGCCGTGATCATCAAAAAATGGGCATTTCACTTTCTATTTCAGGAAAATAAACCTTAGTTTGTCCATTGGTTAGTTTGCTTGAATACGTTGCTTATTAACTTTGTTTTTGTGAGAATTAGTTTCGATCAAGGAATAAACATGGAAAAGTAGTGGAAGACCATACTTTTTGCTGTGTAATTAAAAGTAATTAAGTAATTAAAATGCTTAAATCATCATCAACTTTAGGCAGATTACAATAAAATAAAATCCAAATCACTACATCAGCAAGTCAAAGAAAACAAATTATAACAAATAAACCGCAAGATTATTATTTATTGCCCCCAGAAATCGTGGGCGCTCCATCAATGGAAATTTTCAAGAAGAGACTGGACAATCACCTGTCTGAGATGGTATAGGTTCTCCTGCTTGAGCAGGGGGCTGGACTAGAAGACCTCCAAGGTCCCTTCCAGCTCTATTCTATTCTATTCTATTCTATTCTATTCTATTCTATTCTATTCTATTCCATTCCATTCCATTCCATTCCATTCCATGATTCTATTCTATTCTATTCTATTCCATTCCATGATTCTATTCTATTCTATTCTATTCTATTCTATTCTATTCTATTCTATTCCATTCCATTCCACTCCACTCCACTCCACTCCACTCCTCTAGTCCATTATCATATGACATATTCATACCACAACACAAGATTAATAAATAAGAAACAAGCCAAAATTTGGTTCCAGTAACACTTAAATCTTTAAAAGCCTTCCAGAAGAATATTGTCTCACTACATTCTGGAAGGTCACCACTGAAAGGGACATCTAGCTTCTGAAGGAAAGTTGTTCAAGTGTATGGGAGCCATGATGAAACAACAGCTTTTTCTGGCTCCAGCCAACCTCACCTCATGAAAATGGAAGACAACACGCAACTTATCCCAGAAGGGTCTCGCTGGACGGATCTATTTTAAGTAGACAGTCCTGAAGATACCCACTTCCCAAGCTTTATTTAGTGGTAATACGTGAATACCCGCTTCAAGGGGGAACAGCAATAATTGACCAGACTGATGCCAAGCAACAAACCTTGTCCATCATTGTAGCAAAATTCCACTATTGCTTAGAACAGTGGTGGCGGACCTATGGCACGGCTGCCAGAGGTGGCACTTGGAGCCCTCTCTGTGGGTACATGTGCCATTGCCCCAGCCTTGCTTCCCCCCGCGACCCCCTCCTCTCCAGCAGCCCCTCTGAAGGAGAGTTGTCCTCGAGCGTGGCCCACGCGGAGCAGCGCGGCCAAGGACATGGCAGGCCAGGCAGCGTAGACAAGACTCTGACCTCACATCCCATCATGCAGTTGATGCTGCAGGGCGCGGGCAGAGGGTGTGGCCGCCATAGCGCTGCTGGGCTGCTGGGCGATCTCTGGCGGGCCCTGGAGGCGGTGAGTGGTCCTGTGGGCAGGCGGGGCGGGGGATGGGGGGGCAGAGCAGGGGCGGGGCAGGTGGTGGAAAGGGGACGGGGACAGTTTTTGGGCACTCGGTCTCTAAAAGGTTCGCCATCACTGGCTTAGAATTTGGATAAAACGTGGGTGCAGAGCTTTTTAAAAAATAACCCTGCAAAAACCATGGTTATTAAATCAAGGTTTATTTTGAAAGCTACAAGGTTCTAGCTATTTTAAAGAGGGAAAAGTTGGGAATACGATAAGGTCACTCGGGGACGTATTCTGTGGTTAACAAAATGAGGAGCAAAGCACCAATGGCAAACCACGAGCTATATTATTTAATGGATTTACTTTGTGAATCCTTAGAATAGTCTAGTGCAGGGGTTTCAAACTGCTAGACCAGGGGTAGTCAACCTTGGCTCTTTTATGACTCGTGGACTTCAACTCCCAGAATTCCTGAGCCAGCTGTGCTGGCTCAGGAATTCTGGGAGTTGAAGTCCACGAGTCATAAAAGAGCCAAGGTTGACTACCCCTGTGCTAGACCATGGGCCGGACGCGTCATCTGGAAGCTGTGCCCACCCCATTGCCGGCAACGGCAAAACCGTCCCGATATGTTGCACGACGTCATGTGACGTCGCGAGTTTGACATGTCTGGTCTAGTGGTTCCGCAAGAGAAAAAAAGTAATCAAACTCTGACATATATAATGTTAGGCATTTTACCGACCCCAATAAGCACAACAGACACATTATTAATCAAATAAACCAACGGGCCAGGGTGTGCCATATAGAAAGCCAAGTTCGTCCGTCTGTGTGTATTAGCCTTAACGAAACAGAAGAGAGTTAAGCTGCAACATTAGAAATACTACTATCTGACCAACAAATGAAATAGTATAGAGGCTACGTATCGCAGACTCGTATCACTGAATGTTCTCAAACAATCCAATGGGAAAAATAATCTTAACTCTAAAAATATACCATCACAAGAGGAAGGCAAGTGTTATGCGTAGAGGCATTTTTATGGATTATGAAAGGTACAATCAAAAGAAAAATGTATTGCCCTAGCCCGGGGTCTTGAAACTTGGCCCTTTGATGACTTGTGGACGTCAACTCCCAGAATTCCTCAGCCAGGCACACGTGCCTGGCTGAGGAATTCTGGGAGTTGAAGTCCACGAGTCATCAAAGGGCCAAGTTGGAAGACCCCTGCCCTAGCCACTACTTGTGAGACCTGGGACCCACAATGTTTCAGACACAGAACACCTATTTTCAAGGTGGCCGAGAACAATTCAAGTGGTGTCCACACAGGGACCCAAATTTAAGAGTGACCTGAATTCGGTTTAATAGCTCTTTTACGAACGCTAATTAACCTTGTAGTAGTATACACAGAAACAGCAACTTACAAGACAAGGAATGTGTGCCTTTGGGTAAATATTCAAAGAGCAGTGAACTCTCTTCTCCCAGCAGGTCAGCTTTCAAGGACAATAAGCTATTCTTGCTCATAAGAGCTGCCCGCAAGTTAGCAACTGCTACAGCCTGAAGTGCATCCTCTTTCTCTGGAGTAAGTGGCTGAGAGAGATAACTCACTTCACCTCCTAGGAGTGCTTCGTCAACCTTTGCATAAAGATCCACTCTCTCTATTCTGTTGTCAGAATTGTTGGGCTCTGCCCCTGTCAGATCCACACCTGCATGAAAAAGAAAGAAAGAAAGAAAGAAACATACGGTAAGTTTACATTTAAGCATGAAGACCTAGATAGAAGAAGTGAATTTGTAAAACTCTTCCTTCACATTTGAGCTCACAGTGTCAGCACCAGTATTCAGAGCTAAAAGGCTCAAAATATATGCTTTTTTCCCCCCAGGTTACATTTCACATCTCAATGTTATGATCCCTTTGCTGATATTACATTCATAGAGTGTACGCTTTGCAAGATACACTGTATACTGTCACTTTGTAGTATATTTGCTGCTATAGTACAGAAGACTAATTACCCAGTTATGTAAAATTACTTCAGATTAGCTTTCTGTTCCTTTTGTTAACTCTGCTACAGTTTAATCAAAGAGTATACTACTGTTAAATAATATTTTATACCCATGGTGGCAAACCTATGGCATGGGTGCCACAGGTGGCATGCAGAGCCCTCTCTGTGGGCACGCGCACTGTTGCCCCAGTCCTAGGCCTTCAGCTGGGTTTTATAACACCTTTTCGCTTTAGGCCTCCACCGCCCTGTGCAAAAAAAAAAAAAAAGGTTCAATCAATCAATTTCAACTTCTCGCGGGGGAAAAAAAGATCTCGCAAAGTTGGAATTGCTTGATTGAACTTTTTAGTCCCACCCAGTCTGCCGTAACCTCCGCAGCCACGCCCACCCAATGGGCCACACCCACCCAATGGGCACGCCCACCCGGCACCCGACGATAAATAAGTGGGTTTTGGGTTGCAGTTTGGGCACTCGGTCTCTAAAAGGTTCACCATCACTGGCCTACACCAAGGGCAGTCTACCTGCATCTCCATAGAAGCAGAATTCTGGGGATGACAGTACTGAGAATCGCAAAGTGAATGATATGTCTAGTTTAATGAAGAGAAGAGAAGGACGAGGGGGGACATGATAGCAGTCTTCCAATATCTCAGGGGCTGCCCCAAAGAAGAGGGAGTCAAGCTATTCTCCAAGGCGCCTGAAAGCAGGACAAGAAGCAACGGATGGAAACTAATCAAGGAGAGAAGCAACCTAGAACTAAGGAGAAACTTCCTGACAGTTAGAACAATTAACCGGTGGAACAACCTGCCTCCAGAAATGGTGAATGCTCCAACACTGGAAGTTTTTAAGAAGAGATTGGACAGCCATCTGTCTGAAATGGTATAGGGTTTCCTGCCTGAGCAGAAGGTTAGACTCAATGACCTCCAAGGTCCCTTCCAACATCATCATCATCATCATCATCATCATCATCATCATCATCATCATCATCATCATCATCATCATCATCATCATCATCATCATTATTATTATTATTATTATTATTATTATTAAGATTTGGACTATCAATTATAAATTTTACAAGGACTGCTTCTTCAAAGTGATTGAATCAGCTGCCCCGTTTATTTACAGTTGTGTTTCCAGCTGGCTAGTTTAATTTAGTTCAGGTGGTAACACAAAATACAAAAACATAAAATAACCACATAAATCAAAATGTCAAACATTTTATGTAATTTTGAGCCTGTTTACGTTTTTTGTCATATATATAGATACATTCAAAAGCCACTTCAGGTTGTTCTCTTTTGGGGAGCAATCAACTCTTCACAGAATGATGGATAAGTTTCCAGACACCTCAGAGAAACACATTAAGGAAAACTGTAGAATAAGAGAGAGAGAAAAATGAACCTGACAGAGTACAGGAAGTATGTGTTACACTTACTAACTGAACAGTCGTGGTCAGAAACCTGCTGCCGTAATTTCCCCAGTCCCTCCTAACATTCTGATTAACCAACTGACCCAGAATGGGAAAAAAGAGAAAGCAGTTCTCAGTGAATGCTTATCTGTTGCTTTTTACTTTGTTGTTAGTGTCCAGTTACAAATTTTCTTTAAAATTGTGTCTCTTAATTTCTAATTGGACATTTTAACACTAGATTTTAAGATGATAAATTAAATGTATTTACAACCATTTCAAATTAACTGCGGCACATCAGCAAAAAAGGAATGTGATGAGTAGAAAAAGATGCTGAGACTCTAGAAAGACTACAGAGAAGAGCAACAAAGATGATTAGGGGACTGGAGGCTAAAGCATATAAGGAAAGGCTGCTGGAATTGGGTATGTCTAGTTTAATGAAGAGAAGGACGAGGGGGGACAGGATAGCAGCGTTCCAGTATCTCAGGGGCTGCCCCAAAGAAGAGGGAGTCAAGCTATTCTCCAAAGCGCCTGAAGGCAGGACAAGAAGCAACGGATGGAAACTAACCAAAGAGAGAAGCAACCTAGAACTAAGGAGAATCTTCCTGACAGAACAATTAACCAGTGGAACAACCTGCCTCCAGAAGTGGTGAATGCTCCAACACTGGAAGTTTTAAAGAAGAAACTGGACAGCCATTTGTCTGAAATGGTATAGGGTTTCCTGCCTGAGCAGGGGGTTGGACTAGATGATCTCCAAGGTCCCTTCCAACTTTACTATTATTATTATTATTATTATTATTATTATTATTATTATTATTATTATTATTATTATTAATGTAATCACAAATGAGGGTAGAGAGTACCCTCCATGAACCTGTAACTTGACCCCTTTTTGAAACTGGCATTAAACCTGATTAATGAGACCATACACAAATCTTGATTGTTAATTGTGTGCTCCTATCAGGGCCTTTGATACAAGAATCCTTAAGACTGATTTTTTTAAAAAAAAAAAAAAAACAGGGATAACTATCCCCAAAGGGTAATTTGGGCACATCTTTGGGGTAATAGAACAATTTGTAATTGCTTGTTTGTGAATCAAGGATTCAATTTGGCCCTACTGCTGCGGAGATGCTTGTGTAAAACAACAGATTCTGGGGCTTTGGGGGTGACTCTATGAGACTGGAAAGTGAGATTACAGTATTGGGTCAAACAGTGTCAGATCATTACAATCAGTTTAAAAAGCACTGCCTTAAGAGATTGGCTAATCCTACCAGGGATAAACAAAAGCAAATTTTATTTAAAAGATGAAAATATGAAGTTTCTTTTTAATTGTAGATTTTAAAATGGGAACATATTCTGTTGAAGAGAGACATAAAGGATTGCTTCCAAATGAATTAAAAAGAAAAAAGTGTAAAATAAGATGCAGTGCTTCAGTCAAACAAACAAACAAACAAAGGCTTCTGAACACCTACAGAATCATCAGAAAGAAACTGGAGGATGAGGAATGCCAAAAAGTACTAAAGGAAAAATACATCTCATGCACGGTCCTTGAAAAAGGTACACAATACATTCTGCTACTAGTTAGTCCTCTCTGGAATGTGCATGGTGAAAGTTATTTAACACTGCATTTGCATCTGGAAAGAAGGGTAAGGTTGTGAGAAAGAGTGTATGTTTTACCTCCTCAAATGTAGGAAAATGGCCACTGCTATTTGCTAATGTAGAAAATATGCTTAGCGTTCAAGAGGTCCTAGATTCCTTTTTTTTGGAATGTCATGTTAGATCTGGGGAAAATCTTCTGAAACCTTATAGATAGCTGCTGATAGTTTACACAGATAGTTGAAGTAGATATATCAACAGTCTGATCACTTTGTATGAAGCTTTATTTGACCTGGAACTGGAGCAGAATCTAGACTTTGTTTAAGGAGTATTTGATTGAAATCTAGGAAATCCGAAAGAGACCCAAATCTCTCTGAATTAAATATTTAGCGTTCCAGTTTGCGAAGTGTCAGTCATTACATGCAAGCCTATTGCTTAGCACTGGAAATAAATCTTAATAATACTTAGCATTTATTGCTTATTGAATGTTTAAAATGTTTCTTACTAGGCAGTCCTTAAAATATCATGCAGCTGCTGATAATTATTGCTAAGCAATAATTATAATAATTGCTATTTTCCCTATTTACTATTTATCAATATTGCATTGGAGAATGGGAACTGAAAAAATAGTTCTAGCTTTTAGACCAGGGTTCCCCAACCTTTTTGATTCCATGGACCGCATGGCGGTGCCATCAGTGTTTTTGGCGGCAGGGGGGCGAGGGTCCTAGTCCTAAATCCTGTGCATGTGCAAATGAAGCTTCATACATTCGGCTGCCACTTCGGCAGCCTACTTCCCAACAGGCTGTGGCCTGGTAGTACTCCACAGCCCGGGTTTGGGGACCCATGTTTTAGACCAGTGGTTCTCAACCTTTTTAATGCCGCGACCCCAACCGGTCGTAAGTCAAGGACTAAACCGGTCGTAAGTCGAGGACTAAACCGGTCATAAGTTGAGGACTAAACCAGTCATAAGTCGAGGACTACCCAACTGGTCGTAAGTCGAGGACTTTCCCTGCCTGGGAGTGCCGCACATGCGTGGTTCTGCCCCCTGCGCTGGCTGAGGCGTAGCTGGCAAGCAGCAGAGACGGAGCAGGCCGACCACCAGCTGGCCCAGCCCAAGGGAGGTAAGGCACCCGCCAGAAAAGGGGAAAAAATGGCGGACAAAAAAATGGCGGACAGCCTTGCTTGGCGACCCCCGTGAAATGGTCGATCGACCCCAAATGGGGTCCCGACCCACAGGTTGAGAACCACTATTTTAGACTAATGATTTGAGTGTTTTAGACTATTTTTGTATTATAAACATGTTATTTTTTTTACCATGGATGTTTATGTCCTGTTTATGTGTACCTGCAAGAGTCTTACGATTGCTATAGTATAAAACACAATTAAATTAATACGCTCTCTTCATGTAGGTGTGTGTGTGCGTGTATAGACACACTGAAATGTTCTTGAATTAATAAAATAATCAGCTTCCTTAATAGATTGACCAGGTGATTGATTGATTGATTGATTGATTGATTGATTCTAATTTTTGTAGACTATTTTTATGACTTTCGGTAGTGAATAAAAAAGCAAGAATAAAAAGAGAAAAAAAGTTAACAAACTAATAAAATATCTTCGCCTCTAAGAAAACTATTGAGAAAAATAAGTTTATTGTGAATAAACTATTCCATTATTTAGCAGTGAGAAAGAGAGAGATTTGCGTTAGGAGGAA